CTTTCGTCTTTCTCTTGTGTGTATCTAGTTGCTTTAGAGAAATAACTTGAGAAGAGGCATTTTTCTAATGTTTGGAGAAGACGTCATCAAAAACTGTCCTAATTAAGACTCTCCAGAACAGAACAGACCCGGGGGCTGATCTGTGGTGATTTCCAGGAGAAGTTCTCAGGCCATCAGGCTTTGGATAAAGAGAAGAGAGGAGACAGAGATAGTGGGTGATGGAGTGAGAGAGAGACCTTGCAGAAATGTGAGGAAAGAGAGCAGAAGAGCTACTAAGGAGACAGTGGCCACTTGACTGTGGTGTGGCCTCCTGGACGTTTGTTTATGTATGTAGTAAGTATGTGTGAGCTGATTGCTTGACTTAAACCGAGACCATCTGCTTTTTTACTGGAAGTGACTTTTGGATCAAAAGCTCTATGTCTTAAAAGGATGGTCATTAAGTCTTGTTAGTTACCATCGTCTAAGACCCCTCAGACTCCAGAGGGAAACATTAGCTCACAAAAGAGAGTAAGACATGACTGAGCTTTCTGGGGTTTATCTGTCATTCATTTGGCTCCCTCTACCAAGGTTCTCTGTTACTTAAAATGGAAAGGACAGAGGCTTTGGCCTAAGGACTAATCCAGCTGGGCAAGTCACAGGGTTCTAAGACCCAGTGCTTAGCTGTCTTTTTCACCCCTTGCGTACTTGGTTTCACTAGTTTCTGATGCTTCTGTAAGAGCAAAGTCAAGATTCTTCAAGCAGCCTGCATCCGTGTTTCCCTCACAAAGTAATTATAAACTTGACTAGGCTTAGATCATGAGCTATGCTTACTGAAAAATTTGGGCTTTCAGGTTGAAAGGGATGTGATTCCATTACTTGGTTTTCATTATTTCTTATTTGCCCCGTCTAGAGAGACATGAGGCCAATTGTGTATATAACTCTCTCCTGGGCCGGTGTTACCACTTCATGTAACAGTAATACCTACTATTTCCACAAATGCGATCTTAGATTTTTTTTTTCTTTTTCTTTTCTTCTTCTTTTTATTTTTATTTTTTATTTTTTGAGACAGAGTCTCAGTGTGTTGCCCAGGCTGGAGTGCAGTGGTGCTATCTCAGCTCACTGCAACCTCTGCCTCCTGGGCTCAAGCGATTCTCGTGCCTCAGCCTCCGAAGTAGCTGGGATTACAGGCATGTGCTACTGTGCCTGGCTAATTTTGTGTTTTTAGTAGAGATGGGGTTTCACCATGTTGGCCAGGCTGGTCTCGAACTCCCGGCCTCAAGTGATCCACCCAATTCATCCTCCCAAATTTCTGGGATTACAGGCATTAGCCACCATTCCCAGCTATATCCTAGATGACTAACAACAGAGGCACTTACAAGAAAGATTTGTCACAGGTCTATGAGTAAACATGAACTTAGTTTTGGTTGTAGCCCCGAGGCTCTTGGGGTGTGCACTAGCTATATATCATTTTGTTAGTAAAGAGCCCAGAGGACTGAGTGAGGGTTGCTGATGTTTTGAGTCTGACACATGTCCCCTGATCACTTTTAATAGTGGAGACCATGGACTTGACATCATGAAAGAATGAAAAGCGCTCAGCATAATACCTCCTCCTGTTCTTACTCTCCTTTTTTTGTGTGGGAGAGAAGTGGCACCACCATTCCTCGTACTCATATCAAAGTAATGGAACCTTGAGCAGCCACTGGAAGAGAGAATGCAGGCAGCCGGAAAGTGAGAGGCAAACCACTGGGGAGGCCCACTGAAGCCAGGCCAGGGAGAGCAAGGATGTTTGTGACACTCGCTTTGCAATCCAGGTTTTACCGTGTTTACTCTCAACATGACCTTCTAGGGTCACTCCTCCCTTCAGCTTGTTGGGTGAGACTCTCCAAATCTCAGTATCAGGCTTGTTTATATTTTGGCTTTTGCTGCATCCACCCCTCGCTGATGGACCACAGCTTGCATAATTGTTGTTTATCACACCAATGTCCCTTCGGTCCCCTGGCTGTGGTTCTTCCCCATACCTTTCCTGAAGGTCAGATGAGATCCCTCCTTGGTTTCTGACATTTGCTCTCCTTCACTCATCTAGCCATCCACCACCCTCCTGTCTTGTCTTTCGCAAGCCTGGAAACACTATTTAACCTGGTGCACATAAGTCCATTTCTGTCCCTGACCCCCAAACATCGCACAGAGGACCTGGAGGAGGTTCCCGCAGACCTCCTGCTTGAGCGATGCACAGGCATTTGCCTCTCTCTCTGGCTACCTATGTGCTGGCTCTTCCGGTGGCCCCTCAGCATGACGGTCCCTCAAGGCTCCATTCCCTCCTGCCTCCGGATTCTCCCATTCTGAATTTTGTTGAGCCTCTGGCTTTGAGTCTGCTGGTGTATTTCCTCCAGGTCCGGGCAAGTCACCTTAAGTGTCTTATTTACAACTCAAACCAGGAATGACCCTCCCTACCCGACTTCCCCATTTCACTGGGGAACTCTGTTTACCATTGCTGTCTCAAGCATTGGCTATCTGTGGAAGCTTCTGCTCACCTTTATTTTTGCAGGTATCTCTTCTCTTTACAGAACTGCTGTTTTCTACCATAAATGATCACAATGCCAATTTTAACATAGAAAAAGATTGTTCAGGGTATATTTAAATTGCTTTGAAATACTAAAAATTATCTATAGCTTGTAGGCATTTTTACAAAATTTTAAATTGTAATGTGTTTATTTTAAACTGAAGATTTTTATGAGCAAATTCTACTGCCCCTTTGATTCATTTCTATCACTGTTGAAATTTTTGTCCCCCAAAAATCTTCAGGTTCCACATCATCCTTTTCAGGATGATTTTTTTTTTTTTTTTAAATTGCAATAGGGTCTTGCTAGCTTGCCTGGACTGGTCTAGAACTCCTGGGCTCAAGCGATCCTTCCATTTTGGCCTCCCAAAGCGCTGTGATTGCAGGCATGAGCCACTGCACCTGGCCTGAAGATGACTGTTAATGTCCTAAAGTCCTTTGCCCTGCGCACCCCTGTGCCTTGCTCCAGGGATACTTGTCTTCCTCTCTATCCCTTCCATTACTCTAGGGAACTACATGTGTGAAAAAGCATATCTCTACAACCCCCTGAGCCCATCTCATTATGTAACCACTTTTAAAGCATCTTCAGTCACTAGAAACAATAACAGCATTTAGTCTAGCCTTACGGATGCCTGCTTCTCAAGCCCTACAAATGGTGCTGCACTCTAGTTATCACTTCCACATTAGTTAACGTCGTCGTCTTCATATCTGAGTCACTGTTGCCACTCTCAGATTCTAATTCCCTAGAGAAGCAGTTCTAAGCCAAGGGTGATTAAAGATCTTTTCGTACTTATTAAACAGATTCTCAGATCTCTTTCTTAGAGATCAGGATTTTGTAGGCCTGGAGGGGAGTCTGTGAGACTGCATGTTTGACAAGCCCCTAAATGATAGTGACATAGGCGCTTTCCTGACCTGCTGGGAAGTGGGGGTGGGAAGCCAGGGCAGTCACTTACCAAGGATTGTGATGATGTGCCCCCTTATGGGCCCCACACAGAGAGGGGAGATCTGGGAGTGAGGATTAGAATCAGGTTGCCAGATTTAATAAATAAAAATAGAGGGTGACCACTCAAGTTTGAATTTCAGATAAACTATGTGTCTATATCTCTCTCCATATATATCTATATGTATCTCTATAGATATATATATGTGTGTGTGTGTGTGTGTGTGTGTATGTTTTTGTTTTTTCTTTTGTTTTTTTGAGATAGAGTCTCGCTCTGTCACCCAGGCTGGAGTGCGGTGGCACGATCTTGGCTCACTGCAGCCTCCACTTCCTGGGTTCAAGCGATTCCCCTGCCTCAGTCTCCTGAGTAGCTGGAATTACAGGTGTGTGTCACCACATCTGGCTAATTTTTGTATTTTTAATAGAGACGGGGTTTCACGATGTTGGCCAGGCTGGTCTCAAACTCTGGACCTCAGGTGATCCACCCATCATGGCCTCCCAAAGTGCTGGGATTGTAGGTGTGAGCCACCATGTCTGACCTCAGATAAACAATAGTATTTTAATATAAGAGTGTCCCACGTAGCATTTGGGACATACTTATATTTACAAAAAACGTTCTTTGCTTATCTAAAATTCAAATGTAACCAGGCATCTTTTATTTGGCAGTCCTACAATAAAATGCAGTTGTGATGGACTTTTCCAACCATTGCTCCCGAGTAGTGCTGTGTAGTGTGGTTCACATACCCATCTAAGAAGTCTCATGAAGGCAGAGGCTTTTGGATATTAAAGAATGTAACAGACTTTTAGAGAGTGCAAACCCAAGGCACCTGGACTTCGAATTTTATCTGACTAGCACTGACATGCTCAGACTTTTGGATTGGAAAGCATTTGTGGTTACTGTACGTATGTCCCAAATTCTTCCCATTTAGATTAAAAGATCCAAAGAAAATATCTCTGTTAGGTAGGCTTGAGTCTAGAGAATTTGGAATGATTATACATTTACTGACGAGAATTTGGAATGATTATACATTTACTGACAATAAGGATTATAAAAGAAGTCCTCTGTACCCAATGCTTACATGCAAGTAGGGAGGGTAAAGCCACCTGCACACAATGCTACCTTCCAGGGTATTTTAAACAACTGTGCATGTTGGGGTACTAGAAACATAATGGGCTTTGGAGTACAGCACACCGGGGTTGGAATTCTGGTTCTGCCACTTTCGGTGCAACCTTGGGCCAAGTACTTACCCTTTCAGTGCAAGCAGTGTTTTCATTCATAAAATGGAGGTGATCATTGAAGTGTTGCTAGGGAAATTAACTGATCTGTGCTGTTAAAGCATCGTTGTCATTGGTACTTGGGGTTACCTAATCTAAATGCCAGAGGAGTGATTTCACAAGGGAGGCAAGACCATTTCTTTTTAGGCAGGTGGAGTTAGCAAAGTATGTTTTGTATGTGGAAAGTCTACTTTTGAATTATCTTGGTGGCTGCCTTCCTACTAATGATTTTCTCTCTGCCTGGTCTAGGATTAACACAGATTCCTCAGATCCAGAAGACTGAAATTTCTTTTCGTCCTAATGATCCCAAGAGCTATGAGGCATACGTGCTGAACATAGTTAGGTTCCTGGAAAAGTACAAAGATTCAGCCCAGAGGGATGACATGATTTTTGAAGACTGTGGTGGTAAGTAGACTCATTGTAGATGTTTGTGGCTAGTTTTCTTTCTCTTTAATTCGTATTTCCCACTTCTGTTTTTTGTTTAATGATCAAGAGATAATCCTGAAATAATGAAAGATTGAACTCTGGCCATACTTAGACACTTTTTTAAAAAACAGACACAGTGAAAAACAGTATAGCCTCAAGTATGACTATTTTCTGCTTTGGAAAGGTGTCTTTAAAACACTCCTAGGCACTATTTTTACTATTCAGACCCAAGACAGCAATTCCAGTTTTCTTTCTCTTACATCCATTGAAAAGTACAACTACTTATTTCCTTATCTGCCTCCCAAAAGTTCTCCCTATAGAAGAGTGCATAGGGCTTTCTCCCATCAGAAAGACATTTTGGTGTGATTAGCTGTCACTGCACTGGCATTCATGAAGGGGGATGTATGGTCAGGGTATACTTTTATTGATCGTGGTTGGGATAGATAATGAAATATGTGTTAGGCAGCTGACCTTTTTGGATAAGGAAATGACTTACGAAGGGTAAAGAGAGGCTGTTAGTTTCATTAAGTCATTGACGTGAATACATGTTCTCCCTCTTACTACCTGGACTATGAATTTTCCAGTCCATGTTCTCGTTCTTTCCACATAAAAAAAAAAAGAACTCTCGTTGGGTGCAGTGGCTCATGTCTGTAATCCCTGCACTGTGGGAGGCTGAGGAGGGAGGATTGCTTGAGCCTAGGAGTTTGAGACCAACCTGGGCAACACAGTGAGACCCCATCTCTACAAAAAATAAGACAAGTTAGCTGGGTGTGGTGGTGTGTGCCTGTGGTCCCAGCTACTTGGGAGGCTGAAGTGGGAGGATCACTTGAGCCTGGGAGGTCGAGCCTGCAGTAAGCCATGATCATGCCACAACACTCCAGCCTGGGCACCAGTGCGAGACCCTGTGTCAAAAAAGTTAAGTTCAAAAAAACAAACAAACATAAAAATCTCTCTGAGTTTTACTAGGTAGTATCAGCCCTTCTGATTCAATTCAAGCATTTGCCAACTCCAGTTCTTTTTTTTTTTTTGCGAGACAGAGTCTTGCTCTGTCGCCCAGGCGAGTGCAGTGGCGTGATCTTGGCTCACTGCAAGCTCCGCCTCCTGGCTTCACACCATTCTCCTGCCTCAGCCTCCTGAGTAGCTGGGACTACAGGCACCCACCACCACAGTTAATTTTTTGTATTTTTAGTAGAGACGGGGTTTCACCTTGTTAGCAAGGATGGTCTCGATCTCCTGACCTTGTGATCCTCCCGCCTCAGCCTCCCAAAGTGCTGAGATTACAGGTGTGAGCCACCACGCCCGGCCTCCAACTCCAGTTCTTTATAAGGCAGGCTGTGGCTTAGTCAGAGTATGGGGCGAATTGCCATTTTAAGTTGTTTTGAAAATATTTAGTAATTCAAAAGAACATTTTCAGTGTGAATTTTCCTCATTAGAATTTAAATGAGGTTTTCATCTTACTTTGCAGTAATTAAAAGGCCTGAGGGATAGTCAGGGTGAATCAGTTCATAGGAAATAGTCTAAATTCAGACTCTTCATCATTTGAAAGGAAAATAGTTAATTTGTGAACTTAGAAACTATATATAAATTATGGTATTTGCATTATTTTCCTCCAGCATGCTATGCATTAACTTTGAATTCTATATTCACTTGGTCTTTTTTTGGCTTTTATATGAGGATTGAATTAAAAACACCAGAATAAAATTTATCAGTCCAGCAAATGCTTAATGCATAGCTTTAAAAGGCAAAAACTCAAATCAAAAAAGCCTGGGCAATATAGCAAGACCCCGGTCTCTGCAAAATTTAAAAAACTAGCCACAGGGTGGCGCATGCCCAGCTACTCAGGATGCTGAGGTGGGAGTATCTTTAGAGCCCAGGAGGTTGAGGATGCAGTGGGCCATGATCGTGCTGCCGCACTCCAACCTAGACCATGGGGTGAGACCCTGTCTCAAAAAAAACCTGAAGTGGTGGTTGAAAAGGAAAATACCAGTTCTTTTCTATTCCTTCTTAAAAATTCTGACCAAAAAAAACCTAGTTCTAAAAATTATTGACAGTCCTTTTGTATTCTCATTATAATATCCCTGTTACTGAACTAAGCCAGTGTTGACAGTGTGAAGGATGCTACTCATGCAGTGTGATCCGTCTCCTTTCAGTCTTCTAAATAGCTGAGTAATCAATTATTTAAAAGAAGGGAAATATTGCCAGAGACTGAATATCATGTGCTGATCAAGTTCTATGAAGCTTTGGTGTGGGGCCATATACCAGCTATTCCTTTTGGTAAAGTATCTTTTAATGTGAGTGAAGAGATGAGAGATGGTTTTCCTGGAGATCTTGCTTCATTCAGATCACGCATTAAATGCAGAATAGCATACTCTCAGAATAGGTAACTATGACAAGGAAGAAAGTTCCTTTTTCTTTCTCAGAACTGCTAAGGGAATTGCTGGTACAATATAAAAGTTGTGTTTTTATTTTTAGACGTGCCTAGTGAGCCCAAAGAACGAGGAGAATTTAATCATGAACGAGGAGAGCGAAAGGTCTGCAGATTCAAGCTTGAGTGGCTGGGAAATTGCTCTGGATTAAATGACGAAACTTATGGCTACAAAGAGGGCAAACCATGCATTATTATAAAGCTCAACCGAGTTCTAGGCTTCAAACCTAAGGCAAGTAATATTTTAAATGATAGAATTTAGATGAGTCATTCACAATAAGTATTTGATTGATCTGAGAAGACAATGTAAGATAGTTTTAAAGTATACTCAGTGCTGATTTCGAAACCCAGCCAGTAGAGTAACACCAAAACCTTCTGTATCTACCCTGCAATTCTTGTAGTTAGGGCATTAATCTCATTTTCTAAAGTTAAAGGAATTCTGAGACACAAAGCTGAATTCTGAAGTGAGTCTTTGGCCCTGTTCTTAATACTCCAGCTCAGTATCCAGATAACAGTTTCTATAACGTAAACTCTTTAAAAGTAAAAATAGAAAAAGATATTTTTTTCCCTGGTGGTCTAGTGGTTAGAGGAAAAAAGAAAAAGTTTTTTTAATTTTTCTACTCCATAAAGAATGGATTTAAAAAAATTTTTTTTTAAACCACCTGCATGTACAGTCTGGTTTTGGTCCTCTTGAAGCCACAAGAACATTTCAAAAAAATTGATAATCTGAAAAAAATTTTTTTTTCTGAATTTTATTGCGAAAGTAGAAGTTTAACATCATCTAGGCTGAACTTGGCTAGCCATGCCGTTGGCTTTTTGTATTATTGCAACTTACAATGGATAAACATTACTCTGGATCACTGAAAAATGGCAAATTTCCGTTGCTCACCATTTGGTGAGATTATATTCTCCATAAGATTGGAAAATGTATCGGTGTTGTCTGTTTTTATAAAACTGGTCATTTCAGTGTACCTCTCAACAGGATTTTAAGCTTCTTTCTACGTAGACAGGATGTAATGGAAGAAAAATGGTGAGAACCATTGTGGCAAAATGTATTTGATATTCAGATTGCTAGAGAATACTTCACAGAGATCAGTGAGCTATTTAGCAGCAAAAGTAATTGTTGTGGCATGGCCAAGAGAAGACTCGTCCCGTGCTTTCTGAGTACCTTGCTTTTGACATTCCTCATCGTAGACATTGAGTGACATTTGGACCCCACAGAGGCAGTCTAGTCTATTGTGATTGATTTATTCCCACGTCTTTAGAGTTGCTCGGTTCAGTGATAAATTGAGCTACTCTTTCTTTTCAGTCCTTTTTTTCTTTTTTCTTTGGTCTCTACTTGGTTATCCATTGCCACTGCCTAATTCATCACCTCCACCCAAATATCCAACTATTTTGAAATTATTTTTGTCAGAGATCAGAGTATCCCACCATCTCATTATCCTCACCTTTTGAGGATAGATTCTGGCAACTTCTTTTATCAGTAAGCATTTTCTCTACATTAAAAATAAGAAATGCATTGCTGGCAGAAACGTCCAAAAGAGTCAAATCTAGACAATCATTTTCGTGCATCCAAAACAGAGTAGTACCAAAATAGTAGTTCCTTCCTGATGTGGAGCTAGTATTTTATCTGACTTTGATTAGACTATGTATGTGTTACATCTCACATCAAGACCCATTTGTTGTGCTGATCTGAGTAAGCAAGTGACTGTGTTCCAGCAATGTATGTTCATCACTTCTGAGATAGATTCGAGCCATGGGTGTACAAGAGGAGGCTCTGGATATTTCATGACAGCAGTAATTTTCAGACTATCCTCTGGGTCCCTTCAGGGAATTCACCCCTTCAAGACAACGCTTCCTCCTAGGGCAGTGACACCTCTGCCTTTTTTACATATTGGACTTTCCTAAGAAAATTGCAAAGAAACACTCCATAAATGGCATTCTCCCTGACTGGAGATTAAAATAACAAAAAAGGAAAGCCTACTTGAAGGCATGCTTGAGGGAAAAGAATGACATTATTTATTCATGACTCAGGAGGAAAGCCCACACTTTATAAAAACAGAAGTGTCAATCATCTTTCTCATGTAATGTAATCTTAGCAAATAATGAGCATTATATTTTGGGTTGACTTTTAGTTTTCAGTGTCTTTAAGCAAAGCTTATAATGGGCTACTATTAAAAGTTCCATTTAGTACTGGGTTGCATCACAGCTTCATTGTAGTCATTATAAAACTTGGGCACTTATTTTCATTTCAACAAAATTACAAACATGACCTTAAATTGGTTAGGGGAGTCATTCATTCTGCTGTCCTGATGTCTTTTATTTTGGTGGACTTACTGTGACCAGTGTGTACTTGTTTGGACTACAGAGTAGTTTTATTTTTCAGAAACTTAAGAAATCATTTACTATCTACTGATCATAATGGGTTTTATTTTTAGCCTCCCAAGAATGAGTCCTTGGAGACTTACCCAGGAATGAAGTATAACGCAAATGTCCTTCCTGTTCAGTGCACTGGCAAGGTAAAGACAAATTTAGGGTTACTGGGGTAGTGGAAGGGCAGGCAGGGGAAGAGGGGAGAATGAAGGAGACTGTTTAAGTGACAGGTAAAATTTTAATAGAAGAAATAAGAAACATTGCTTTCAGGTATAAGCTTCAGTGAGATGAATTGTAGCTATACTCGGTAAAACTTTTTAAAAGAACAGAAAGATGTAATCAGAATAAGACTGACGTCAGTTTCTCCAATGGCACAAGAAACTCAAATATCTGAATTTAATACATTGGGATATTTGCTTACAGAACTGAGAGGTGAATTAGCCCACAAAAGTACTTCTTTCTGGCCCACAGCATGTATTAAAAATTTGGGGCCAACATTAAAAAAAATTAATGTCACATAAAAATTTGTGATTTGGGCTTTTCTTTTTAAAATATTGAAATATCACTGGGTGCAGTGGCTCACACCTGTAATCCCAGCTCTTTGGGAGGCCGAGATGGGCAGATAATGAGGTCAGGAGTTTAAGACCAGCCTGGCCAACATTGTGAAACCCTGTCTCTACTAAACATACAAAAATTAGCTGGGCGTGGCGGCGTGCACCTGTAGTCCCAGCTACCCGGGAGCCTGAGGCAGGAGAATTGCTTGAACCTGGGAAGCGGAGGTTGCAGTGAGCAGAGATCACGTCATTGCACTCCAGTCTGGGGACAGAGCGAGACTTCGTCTCAAAAAAAAAAAACAAAAAAATTGAAAGACTAAGGTAACAATTAGTGTATATTTCCTTTAGATCCAAAAACTAATGGACAGTTTAGAGAGAAAGGCAGAACAAAGAAAGGGAGTCCCCAGACAGTGCTAGCACTAAGAAAGGTAATGGAGATTGATTTCTCAACAAGAAAATGAGAGGCAAGTAGTAAACTTTGTAGGTAATATCACTGGAAATATCATCTGCTGGGCCAACAGCAAGGTGTTTCTGACTTTCAATGTTGGCCTTGTTTCTAGGAGGCTGTGTTGGCTTCAAGAAATGCTTATTTGGCCTTTGACTCAGCTTCCCCATCCATTTGCACATTGAGAATAGTCTCCTCTTATGACCATTTCTCAAGGCTGCAGTGGAATAGACTGAGTAGATGTTCTTTCCTCTCTCAGTAGTTTGCAAACTACTGTGTAGATTGAGTTCTTGTTTTTGAGTACACATAGTGATGCATGATGTGAGCCATTAAAATTGCATTTCATTCTGGATTTCAGAGAGATGAAGATAAAGAAAAAATTGGAAATGTGGAATATTTTGGACTGGGCAACAGCCCTGGTTTTCCTCTGCAGTATTATCCCTACTATGGCAAACTCCTGCAGCCCAAATACCTGCAGCCCCTGCTGGCCGTACAGTTCACCAATCTTACCATGGACACTGAAATTCGCATAGAGTGTAAGGCGTACGGTGAGAACATTGGGTACAGTGAGAAAGACCGTTTTCAGGGACGTTTTGATGTAAAAATTGAAGTTAAGAGCTGATCACAAGCACAAATCTTTCCCACTAGCCATTTAATAAGTTAAAAAAAGATACAAAAACAAAAACCTACTAGTCTTGAACAAACTGTCATACGTATGGGACCTACACTTAATCTATATGCTTTACACTAGCTTTCTGCATTTAATAGGTTAGAATGTAAATTAAAGTGTAGCAATAGCAACAAAATATTTATTCTACTGTAAATGACAAAAGAAAAAGAAAAATTGAGCCTTGGGACGTGCCCATTTTTACTGTAAATTATGATTCCATAACTGACTTGTAGTAAGCAGTGTTTCTGGCCCCTAAGTATTGCTGCCTTGTGTATTTTATTTAGTGTACAGTACTACAGGTGCATACTCTGGTCATTTTTCAAGCCATGTTTTATCGTATCTGTTTTCTACTTTATGTGAGCAAGGTTTGCTGTCCAAGGTGTAAATATTCAACGGGAATAAAACTGGCATGGTACTTTTTTCTTTTTTTTCTTTTGTTTTTTTTTTTTTGGCTCTTTCAAAGATAATGGCCCATCAATGAGCATTTTTAACATACTCCATAGTCTTTTCCTGTGGTGTTAGGTCTTTATTATTATTTTTTTTCCTGTGGGCTGGGTGGGGGGTTGTCATGGGGGAACTGCCCTTTAAATTTTAAGTGACACTACAGAAAAACACAAAAAGGTGATGGGTTGTGTTGTGCTTGTATTGAATGCTGTCTTGACATCTCTTCCCTCGTCCTCCAGTATGTTCTAAAGCTGTGTCTGAGATCTGGATCTGCCCATCACTTTGGCTAGTGACAGGGCTAATTAATTTGCTTTATACATTTTCTTTTACTTTCTTTTTTTCCTTTCTGGAGGCATCACATGCTGGTGCTGTGTCTTTATGAATGTTTTAACCATTTTCATGGTGGAAGAATTTTATATTTATGCAGTTGTACAATTTTATTTTTTTCTGCAAGAAAAAGTGTAATGTATGAAATAAACCAAAGTCACTTGTTTGAAAATAAATCTTTATTTTGAACTTTATAAAAAGCAATGCAGTACCCCATAGACTGGTGTTAAATGTTGTCTACAGTGCAAAATCCATGTTCTAACATATGTAATAATTGCCAGGAGTACAGTGCTCTTGTTGATCTTGTATTCAGTCAGGTTAAAACAATGGACAATAAAAGAATGAACACATTCCTCATGTGTGTGATTCACTCTTGTCTAAATGTCCCAACCTGTGACTTCTTTACTTTCCACACCACTAATTATCCAAGATCTTGAAGAAGTATTGAACCTGAAACAGACAAACACATAATTTCTTTAGTTCAGACAAATTTTGGTCTTTTCCACTTAACAGAGTCCAAGAGGTTGGTGGGGACTCCAGACACTGGCACACCAAGGCACACCGCTTCCCAAAGACACTAAGTTAATCAGAGACAGAGAATCCATGGAGCTCCAGTTTGAAGTTCAATTTTAAAAATACCTTGCAGTGCTACGTCACTCAGTTTAGAAAACATGAAATGTTGGTTCCTGCTATTGCTTCACTAGACATATGTGTTTAAAAAAAAAAAAAAAGGTAACACTTCAGTTTTTAAAAAATGAGGTTAGGTTTGAGGTTCAGTAAATTAAGGTTCATACCTTGCTTTTTGGTTCAGGATTTGGCCTAAGTCCTTGTTTAGCTGTATTTAAAAATTAGCCTTAGTGTGAAAGAAGATAAAAGTCAGCTTTCCAAAAACCATTTTCCAGCTATAATTAATTGAAGATTTAGTATCACTTAACCACCATGGGAAATACCCACACTAAAATCAGGGCATTGTGTTTCTGAAATGGAAACCTCTCACAAAGCCTGTGCAGGCAGAGGAGCTCCGCTCGGGAGCTCAGACACATCCCTGAGGTGGCACTGTGTCTTCAGGGGTGCTGCCCTCTTGCAGAGAGACAGACCCGGAGGCCATGGCCATTTTGGTGAGAAATACCAGAAGCGGCTTCAGTTCCCACCTATTGCTCCATATTTATAATAACACGAACCTGCTTCTCTTGTTTGCTATTTTTAGAGCAACAAATTGTGCGATGCGAAATTAGTACCAGAGGAACAATGACTCAACAAAAAAAATAGCAAGGGAACTATGAAAAATGGCATAACTGCTTAACTTGAATAGTTGAAGTCTTTAGGAGACTTCAGTAGTTGAAGTAACACAGAAAAATCCTCAAACATACCTACATGAAACTGGGTTTCTCAAAAACTAACCCACATTTATGGAAATAGAAGTTTGTCTTGCAGAAACGTCAGCTCATTTTGTAAGGTGTATGTGATATTTAAAATTGTGATGCTTGTGAATAAGGGGAATGGGGCCTTAGGTCTGAGGAAAGGGGAGCATTCATTCAAATTGGAGGGTAGTTTGCATTTTTAAGGCTGCTATAAGGGCATGATCTTGGTGAGACATACTTAACCTGTTTTTGTATGTATTGTGTACCTTCTGTTCTAAGCCATTGTGTGTGTCTGCCTATCACTTTCTCCAAGATTCTCTCCAAATCATGCTTCTCTTAATTTCTCCAGATTGTGCCAACCTATTTCCCACTCCTGATCTTTCACATTATGTCACCACTATGCGACTGGGGTATGTGGTTTGTGTTCTTAGGCTCAACAGATACCTACCATATGCCAAGCACTCTTCTGACAGCTAGGGATAGATCCATCAGTGAGCAAAACAGACAAAACTCCATCTTTTTTCCTCTGCTGCTCACGTTCTACTGTTAAGCATTTGCATATTTCTCATACTTTTCAATACATTTATTATTTCTTTGTAATCAGTTTATTCTGACCCTTAGTAGATGACATATTTCATGGGTGTAGGGACAATGCCATCTATCTCCCTTGGGGTGTTCTTACATTCAAGAAATGGGTTTTCACATGAGTCCTGTCAAATACTTAGTTCCTTACACAGAATATAAAGAGACTGAGTTTTTCAAAGGTAGGCTGACTGCTGCTTGGAATGAAAAGCATTTAGTTACTGAAGACAGAAAAAGGATTCTCTTTTCAACCCTTCATATTCTCAGAAGGAAAACTGAAACACCGAGTTAGTTTGTCCTCAACTCTGGTTAATTTCCCTTGCAAATAAAGCCCCCTTGGGCAGAAGCTTTGCCATGAGATGTTACCTAGCTAGAATTTTTAAACTGGTTTTCATTGTATTTTATTACCTTCAATTAACAATAGTTTAAAACAACTAGTTTTCTATTTATAGCAGTAAAATAAATTTGTTCAAGTACAGCACTGAATGGATTTAAAGAAAAATAGTAAAATTTCAGGTGGTAAATATGATAAAAAGCATGGAAGTGAGAAATGGTTGACTAAAATTTAGGACTCTGCTTGAGAGTATAGCATTTTAGACCAGGCACAGTGGTTCATGGCTGTAATCCTAGCACTTTGAGAGTCTGAGGTTGGAGGATCACTTGAGCCCAGGAGTTCAAGATCAGCCTAGACAACATAAGGAGTCCCAGTCTCTACAAAACAAACAAACAAAACAACTAGCCGGGCATGGTGGTACACGCCTGTGATCTCAGCTCCTTGGAGGTCTGAGGTGGGAGGACAGCTCCAGTCCAGGAGGTTCAAGGCTTCGGTAAGCCTGGGCAACAGAGTGAGACCGTCTCGAGAAACAAAAACAAAACCAAAAAACCCAACCAAAAGCAGCATTACCCAGAACCTATCTACTTTAGAACCGTAGCATGCCCTGTCTGCTCCTGCTGCACCTAATACCAGAGGGAACTGCGCCAACTCCAAATTAAAAACATTATCAGTGATCAGAAACAAAAGTTCCATTATCAGAATCTTTCAAAGCTCAGTAATAGCTTAAACTCCTGGCTTCTTAAAGGATTAGTAACACTTTGATATCTATGTATATTTGGCTTCACAGAGGAGAACCAAATGACATTACCTTGAAAATCTAGGACTAGGGGACCTTGTGAATACAGAGGGAAACTATCCAAGGAACAGTCAAGAGCAGTTTTAATTGAGTGAGTAAAGTGATCTTGGTTTCTAATTCAACTGAGAAAACATGACTTTCTCCTTTTTTCTTTAAGAGGGGGCTAATGTTAACCAGACATGTTATCTGTAGTCCCCTGGGCTCTACACTGGGAAAGATGATCAAGAAATAGATAAGCCTGTTATTCTTCCAACTGATGGTTCCAGTTAGCACCCATGCCCTAGTCATGTGAAACAAAGAGGGGTGAAACAAGGCGGGTATCTTGGTTCCAGCTTTAATTCTCTATTTTCTCTGAGGGACTTTCAGCATCAGCTCTTTCTGAGGGGATTATCTTACTAAGGTGTTGACTCTTATTGACGACAGAATTCAGCTCTTTCATGTAGTCACAAAGGGATCCTAGACCCTAAGAGAATGCCCATATTGTAATAAAGCTGTAACACACTGCCTGTAGCTAGCTTTATCACAAAGCCTTTAAAAAACTTGGATTTCACAAAGTCATAGGCGACCTATAGGGCTATCTTTTCCAAGGAGACACATATATTCCCCCTTAGTGTTGACCCTATACAGACCAGGTAGGAAGTGACACAGGTTAATTTAAAATTCAGCCAGCCACAGTGGTGCCTGATATAGTCATTACTTGGTCTGTCTTTTGGTTTAAGTGCTTCAAGGAGTGTGGAACAGTCCTGCAGGAATAGGAGATCCTTTCCTTTTGATAAGGAGCTGGGGTTCTGAAATAACCAGCAGGTAAAGATTAGGCCATGGGAGATTCTGATGAGTCTGCTTTGGAGCCTCTAGACAGCAAGAGAATAGTATAATAGTATAATACAACTCAGGTTATACTGCAGAAAATGAAACATAATAGATGGAGAAGTCCATGCCTACCATAAACCTTTGAAACCTTTGCCTAGAGCAGGCCTTTCTTTTCTTTCATTTGCAAATTTCTTCTGAGCCACCTACTATGTCACTGACTCTGACTATGAACTCATATCACTATGAACTCGTGGGGTGGGGTAGGGGTAGGGGGTCAGCGGGGAGTGTCCAAACACACTAGGTCCTCATGAAATTTTTACTTTTGTACTTCTAAACGTCTTACATGGTCTAAACTATTCTCATCGATACCACTTCCCCTCCTTCTTCTGCCATTCGTTTGACATACCCATATCCAATGGGTAATGATACTTGACTACCTATAAGATTAAATTGAAGGCTCGTTCTGTCTTTATCACTGTGAAATTTAAGAACAATAGCTTACATTTATTT